GAGATTATATCCATCAGTACAGGGTGATAAAAATAAAACCAAGTACAACTTTTTTTTCTGAATATCTCGCACAAAAATTGTTCTAGAATGCAGTACTGTAATTTGGAATAGAATATATACAGAGGAACTCGGATTTAACGAGCTCGGATTCAACGAGATGAGATAGATTCCCCCGTTTTTTGCCTTCTTTAAAACCAATAAAAAATAACCCGGATTCAACGAGCACTTAAATCAGCGAGCTCGGATTCAACGAGGTCGCTTCCAGGGTGAACAGTCCCTGCAAACGTGGCTTCACTCATTTTTCTCCAAGAACGAACTTTATCTATTCCCAGAAACCGTCCATTGCAACTGTATCGTGAACCATTATTCACTTATCCGATTGCATGCCACCAATCAGCGGCCTTTTTCATACCAACACATGCGTTGTTGGCACACGCACAAGTCTACTCTGGCGTGTGTCGGGGTCGGATGGACCGCCTGCACACGTGTGGCTGTGTGTCGGGGGGCACTAGCGGTCAGGGCGTTGAACGTCGCAGATACAAACGCTCCAGTCTTCTTTTCCCCTCGGAAACTGATATTATAACACAATGATAAGCTAGTCTTGACGTAGATCCTCGTAATGAATTGTGCGCTTGTCTATGGAATCAAAAGTTGCCCTTATGCTAGGCTCTACACAGCAACTCAATTTTCGGTAAACAATCGAGATGACACAGGAGTGCATTTAATTAACGAATTGGTCTTTTTTTTCACACAGCTCATAATATGCAGGCATTTCAGGCACTACTTGTGACTTCTCTTTATACATGATTACTTGCTCAGTGCCTGTAAGTCAAGTAAGTGTAATTATCTACACAAAACCTCATGTTTGCTATAACGAACACTCGGATTCAAAGAGATTTTAGGTCAGGCCCGGCGACCTCGTTGAATCCGAGTTCCACTGTACATGTAATTCATTCAAAAGGAACTTGTTTGACATAAAATCCAAAACGAAGAAACTTATTTTGAAAATGGAAATGACTTAAACAAAAAGCACCCAAAAATGCAAAGTTCAAGAATTTATTTAAATCTTGTAAAGGAAGTCATGAAAATATTTGTTGACTTTTCTCTTTATTTTCTCTTTGACATTTAATTTTCCATCCCTGTAATATTTAAACGTTTTATTTCTTTAACTTTAACAGAATTTAAAAAACCTAACGATTTCATTCTGGAATTTCTAGAAGCAGTGCTTTACATGCCCTCCTTTGGACCCGACACGTTTTAACGCTTCGTTCCAAATGTTGAATGAGGCCAAACACAAGGACCCACTAAACCATAAGTGTAGCCATATTATACTGTACATATTCAGAATTGAGTGGCTTTTAGAGACAATAGGGTGTGGGGTGCCCAAAAGACAGCATTTTGGGGGGAAACATATCCTGCATGTGAAAAATGGGCTTTGCACTAAACCAAATGGCTTCGAGGAAATGATCCCGCTTTTCAAGACAATCAAGGAATCATGAACACATTGCCATGCTCTGATCTGTGTCATCTTGGCCTTGCGAAGATAAAAATGGTACAGTCGCATGTTAAGATCTGCAATGAAAATGTAGACTGTTGAGGTGTAGGAAAGTCCTTGTCCTAACTGCACATTGTCTATTAAAATTTGGTCCACAAATATAAATAAAAGCGAGATAGCCTTCAGGTGTAGCCCCCCTCCCCCTTAAAAACGATTTTATAGAGTTTGAGAGTTTGAAACTGGTGGGTGATGTGAGGCAAGACAAAAAAATCAGAGTTTTATAAGACGATTCTGGAGTTCCCTACAGAGTCCATTCTGATGCCATGTCAAAGACAGTGGTCACTGTTGTACAATGGAGGCCTCTGGGTAAAGCCTCTTCTGTTGAGCGTTTGACTGAAGTGTATGTCATTCCCAAGAGGGGGGGGGGTATATACATGTTCTTATGCACAGTAGAATTGTAAATGGGCTGATTTATCAATGTCATGCTCGTAAATATTGTGCCGGAACAACATAGGGGGAACTGCTGCCTTTTCTTTCCTCATCTTTACTAACTACATGTACAACTATCGTCATTTTTTCCTCTACTTCTTTTGTATTAAATTGTATGTTTGTCACTCCCTTGTGAACTGTATTTTCCGAGGTGCCTTGATAGTCGAAGCAGACTTTGTGCTGTTGAGTTGAAGCAAGAGAGGTGAGCATAGCCCGATTCCTCATTTGGCCTTCTCCGTTGACATCCACCCCTTGGCGCTCATGACCGTATGCATGCGATCGCCGTAAAACCTTACTAAAACTAAACTGCTGAGTGTTGTTTGGGGAAAGGTGGTGAAAAGGTATTAGTTTAAGCTGAGGCTCAAACCCCCCCCAACCTGCAATCTCAAGATAATAACCAGGTCCGATAGCGTAACAACTGGGCTACCGGTGCCAGATTTATGGATAGAGCAGCAGCACCTACTTTAACTTGTAAGTCCAACTTAGGAAAGATACATAGAATTAGTATAGTTATTATTAAAAGGATGAAAGTTTTCCCTTCTCTCACTGTAAAAAAAAAAATTGGAGTCTATTCTATGTATAGAACATCTTTATAGCTTGCCAGCAGTAAGTAGCAAAACTAGTGTGTAGAAGAAAGCAATATTTTGTGTGGCATGAAAAGGGAACCCTGAACTTTTGCCTACTGTCATCTTTCATTTCAAAACATTTTTGCTCATATATTATATTATTATTAATTATTATATAGGTTTCCTTTTTACCACTTCTCCTAGGCAGCACTAACCTTTCATTACTGTCAACAACTCGTGAGACATTGCCAAGTGCTCATGCCAACTTACATAAAGGACACATGCCAGAGGTGTCAATTACCAGCCTAGACGCACCAGCATTCAAAGTAAGTCAAACACAAGCGCTTTAAAACGATTTTCAGCATCACACAAACAGTCAAAGGAAAAACAAACAAAACTCATTAAAGTAACATGATTTTTAAAATTTTTAATAATGGAGAAAAACAGGTTTCCATTCCCATTTTCTCTTTTTTACAAGTAATAAAAACAGAATAACCACAAACACTCTATAATAAAGAACTTTCACCGAATTAAAAACCCACAAAAATCTCATGCACGCTCAATTGCACTCTACACAATAAGGAATAGGCAATACAAATGCGGACTAAACTGACTACTGGCATTACAAATACAGGAAGGCCTACCATAAAACCTTCCACACACCCAGCATTCTAGAGTGCACAACATTTGTCCCCATGGACCAGGATGCAGATGAGGTACATTACCACTGTGCCTGTATCTCGGCAAAAATACCCCAATCATGAAATTAACATTCAGCACATTAAGAACATTGAACGTAACGATTGCATGTCCATCAAAAAATGAATTAGAATCGGAACTAAAACTACAGGATCTAGCACACTCATCATCGAATCCTCGTCATGACTTGATTGTAAAACTTCACTCATGCTAAGTCAAGTCAACATGAAATTAAGGAGATTGTTGCAATATTACACTGTCACTGATCGGCGTCCCATGGGGATAGAGTGAGGAATATATGCATTAAGGCCCTGTTCGGCAAATTCCCCCCCCCCCCAAAACGAGCATTATATATTACTCCATACAAAATTAAACTTATTGTGATTGTCTACAAAAGCAGCAAGATACAACCAAAAAAACAAAAAAAACCTAACTACACACAGTCACAAGCGTGGGAAATATAACGCAGCAATGGTCGATCTAAGCTCACAGAGGAGTCGGCACAACCGGCAACTTTGATCGATCTAAGCGTGAATGGGTTTAAGTCTCAGGACAACATACTACCACAGCAAAATACATCAGCGAACAACTGCATGAAAGTTCAGCATGCCTACAAATTTTTTAAAAAGTACCTTCTGAAGTCACATTTTGCTTCTTTTTGAGTTTTTGAATAAAAGTAAAAGGACATCTTAGAGCACCATAACATACATCCAGGCAGATCCATGTTTGCCATAAAGTAACACAACTGACACGGCAAAGAACATAAAATTATCATCTCATGAAAATTCCACTGAAAGTTACAATTCACTCTCAAAATTTCACAAACATGACCGTTACATTGAGCATGCTCTAAAGGATGAAGAGGAAAATCTTGTTTCCACGCTGCACAGAAAAGTTTAAAACAATTAGCATTTTGTGATTTCAACATATTCATGCAATACATGAAACTTGCCAATCATTGAGCAAAGACTATAAATCCTACATCAGAAGTGCACAAATTAGACATTCCAACTCAAATCTAAATTCATCTTTAATGAAGCCCAACAAGACAATATCAGTTCAACGAAAGATTCTGCCATAGCACACGTACCCCAAACAATTATACAGTTTTTGATTACTTTGAGTACAGGACTTGTGAACTCAACCAAAGGCCCCGCACCGTGAACTCCTAGTCAAACATTTACAGATGATGAGGGGTCCCTTGACCAGAAAGCTGTACTCTTTCAAAAGAAGACAAAAGTACAGCACTGACTGTAGGTTCAAGGGAGTGTTGTTAGAAATCCAAATTAACACAACAAAAAAATATGGAAGAAAAGGTCGCTTTTTTTAAGCACAAGGGGGCTATCCTGAAAAATGTTTTGAGAAAATCGAAGGTAAAGTTTTTGCCCCTTGTTCAGTTTCTTTATCAGACAAGGGGAGTTTTCTCTATACACACAAATATACACACCAATGAAACTAAACTTCTCCTATAGGTAGGGCAAAGCCCACCTTTGGTGTAGGTCAAGATTTCTGGAAACCCCCGAAATCTGGGTTAGCCTGCTTGTCCTTAAAAGCGACCAAATAGGGCGAGACATTCTACAACAATAGTTTCTCACTGTCCTTACAGACAAAAAGAAACACCTTATATTCTGTAAAATCTGATAAAATACAAATATTCGAACACGGACCAAAGTTTGCACAACAAGACATCTCTTTGCAATGAAGCCAAACGGAGGTCCTACAAATAAACAAAGAAAGAACAATCTTTCCCCTTGCATACTACACAACACCAGCCGCTTCTCATACGCTCTTCCCACACATGACCAGATCAATCAGCAGATTCCTCATAGGCCTGCGACTCCTGGCCTCGACCACTGTAGACAGAAAAGGAAAATCACTATATAAATAGCTCTATTAACTGAATCGGGACAACTGTATAATAAGGCCAGGTACAGTCGCAGTTACCTAAGACAAACAGATATCACAACAGGAAAAAAAACAACACCCTAGGAGTAAAATGGGAAGTGGTAATTTGTACGAGATTATCTTGGACACGAGGTTGTAGAGTAAATTTGACTATACATAGCAAAAAAATCACATCAACAATAGATTAATTTCAAGCCCATTCATGATATACTCATGCCAAGTTGGTGGCAAAATATTTTTTTTAAAATTAGTAATACAGACCTGTGAAAGCCCCCTATGACCCCAAAAATAGATTTCCTCTGGATCCTCCCTAAAAATCAAGAGTTTGGGGGGAGATATCAGTCTCCAAAACCCCAGTTGATTACGATAATTTTTCATATATTTTATAAGTCAAGGAAATATTACAAATAAAACAGTGCATTTCCCCGTCATTTTTCAATAAGAGGAGTCCGACTGATTGAAACAGAATTTAACTTAATTTAAGAAAAAAAATAGGATTTTATGCAAATCCAATCCTAGTTTATGAAACCAGCAAAATTAAACTGAAGGGCTCTGATTTTTATTGGGAGAACTTGGTAGCTCTGGTAATAGAAACTTTTAAATTCATAAATTGTTTCAAAATATCAAATCGATGGCTTTTTCCCACTTGTACACACGAAAAAAAAAATATAATAACAAAAAGAACAAAGGAATAAGAAAGATATGTAACAGCTCCACTTCTCATAAAAACTATAATCTATGGCCATTACCTCCTCTCAGCAGAGCGAGACTTGGACCTTGACCTCTGTCCATTTCTTGGGCGACTGCCTGAATGGGACCTCCTGCGGTGTTTGCGGCGAGAATGACTACGAGACCGCGAGCGTCTGTGCCGGCTGCAAGAGTACACAATGAGGAAACATGAAAATGTTGTATGTCATTGTATCTATGGAGAAGTTTTACTTTTGAGTGTGTTAAAACTTTTGGTTTAACCCTTTATCTATCAAAAGAAGTTAATAAACAATTAAAAAGACAACACACACACAATAATATTCATTTAAACTAATAGACCTGCATGTGAGCCTCGACCAGATTGTCTGAAAATTTTGCGCACCCCCCCAAAAAAAAAGCCTTTGTGGGTGTCATAAGGAAGGACATCCGAGTAACGAGCGACCACCCCAACAAACAATAAAGAAGAGACCTAACCCTAACCCTACCCCCAAAAAGAACCTGCAACGGGCCTCATGTAAAAAGGCCAAAACAAGTCCTAAATGAAAAAAAAAAATTTTAATTAAAAAACCACACTCCAAAACAAACAAGGAGCATATAGAATCTAGATCTAGATTCTAGATCTATATGGCTTACATCTACATTGCTATAGGGTTTGATACAATAACACAATAGAATTGGAATATGAATCCTTCATATATACAGATCTAGATCTATATCTAGTAGAACAAGTGAATAGGAATAGGCCTCGAACTAAAAATCCGCATCCGATTCCGAACAGAAGGACTCAGCTGAGTCTAGATTCTAGATCTAGATCGATCTAGATTCTAGATCTAGATCGATCTAGATTCTAGATCTAGATCGATCTAGATTCTAGATCTAGATCTAGATATCTAGATCAAGAATAGATCTAGATTCTAGATCTAAATAAATAAATAATTCACGCACCTGATGAAATGCTTATTTTTACCAATATTAATATTACAGCACAACCTATGATGGGGTTTGACACAATAGAATTGGAATATGAATCCCCCATTGAGGTCTATAATAATGATCTATATAAATCTAGATCTAGATTCTATTAGAACAAGAGAGTCGGACTTGAATGAATCCACACGATCTGAACAATTGATTAAGTCAACAAACGAAATTGAAAATGGCCGCTCGAGCACGAAACTGAAAGTAGATAGTTGTCGTCCTTTTTCGTATTCGCATTTCTACTTAGGTTCCGACAATTATGTCGGAAACGCCGACGTCGGCAGTCGGCGGTGCGCACGTTGGCAGTCGGCACGGAGACGAAAGTGCCGACGAAAGAAAAAGGGGTCGTTGGCAGTCCGCCAGGCCTCGCACTACGCACATTGACTGATACAGGCGGGCCTAGCGATAGCATCGGCCGGTTCGCGGGTCGGGTCGCGATTGTCGGATTTCAGACGATTGTCGGCAAACATGCAGGTCTAAACTATACATTTAGACTTCTGGGGCAAATTTAAAAGAGACTAAAGATTAAAGACATTAATTGCAGGAAAAAATTTAAATATTGATAAATCGTGCAATTTTATTTCTTCTTCAAAGAAATAATGTAGACCGAGCCAGTCTAATGTTAGAAGGGCTAGCCAACAATGGGGAAACAATCTTTAAACACAAGAAGTCCAACACAACACATGACCTCAGAACAAAAGCAGAAGTCCAACACAATGAACAATGATATAGACACTACTTTGTAAGGGGACCCAGAACTTCCCCCAATGTGTCCTTTGTGTGACTATGCATATGAGGCAGTGGAACATCACCTTTTCCACTATACAGCCCTAAATGACATCAGAGCTACCCTTCTCCCTCCGACACCTAACTTCGACAACACACTCTACGGAACATTACAGCAACTGCAGCAAACCTGCACTTATCACTACATGGCATTGGACAGAAGGGCGAGAGCCCAGATGTTGCTGGATCGATAACAACAACAACGTAAGGGGACCAACTGTGCAAACTAAGAGGCTTCAACCTGTTACATTGAAATGGCAAACTGGAAGCAAAATAGACGACAAGTCAACTGCCTCCGTCAAAAGAAGCATCCATCTAAAAAAAGAGACGCCGATTCAAAATTACCTTCCTCTCGATGTAGATCTGGATCTACGAGACCGGGATCGACTCCTCTTGGACCTCTTGCGTGAACCTCGCTCTCGTGACCGTGAGCTGCAAAAATACGTAAAATTCACAACTTATCAGTGCTTGATCTTTTGCATAACCAACAGTACTGACAAAACACAATAAAGGGAAGGGATCAGTTTTACAAAATATATACTAATTCATCAATTTTACAAGAAAAAGCAGACAAAAATACCAAACAATAATGAGGAAACTTAATTCCTTTAGCAAAAGCAATTGTAAGATCTCTTTAAAAAAACAAAACTGCGCAGTCTATGTATACCTTCATTTTCTATTTATATTAACTCACAGGATCCAGATCCCACACCTGTCACAGGAGCACCTCCTTCGTGCTACAGCAGGATCGCTCAGACACTGCAGGATGGGCTATAATAATTTTTTCCTCCTTCCTACATCCTATAGCAGTCAAAACAATATAATAATAATAATAATAATGAAGATCATCTATATCGCCCACTCCCATGTAAACACAGCTCTAGGCGCTTTACGTAAATGCATGTACGAAAAATATTCACACACGCGACACACACACACTTACATTACACATGCACATCAAAACGCACACCATAGCTGCCACTCAAGAATTTTTTAAAAGGAGGAAATTCACGCGTACGCGCACTCTCCGAAGGCCGGAGTAAAACCAGTGAGATTCAGAGGCAATATTGGAAAATCTAGCCTACGGTTTTGGAAGGGAAAACTGTCATATTGTTAACCATAGGCGACTGAATTAAAATGTATTTCTAAAAAAAAACAACAACAAAAAACCAAAAAGGCATAAGTTGACTAAAAAGCATTCGAGTCAATTTGACAGTTCGGACTTGGTGACTAAAAATCCAGTGTTTGTTGCCAGTTGGTGTGTCATAAAAAGATTTCTTTCACTTTAGAATTGTACATCGATGTAAAGCAGTATCGGATCAAAGAGGCAGGCACTCCTGTACAATATTGCGGCCCCGTTTGCACTTAGTACCCTTGTAGTGTGTTTCTTATTTAGAGATCTAAACTGAATTAAAATTATAGCCAAAGCTATCTAATCTAGATCTAAAATCTAGATATCTAAATATGTGTAGATCTAGATTATATCTAGAGAGAGATTATCTAGATCTAGATTCACTTCCACAGCCACAATAGCCGTCATGTAAACAAACGGGACCGCAATTGTACAGGAGTGCCGCGGGCCGCGATTTCTTTCGAACCAAACGCAAAGTGCAGCAAGCGGCTAGTTCAATTTTCTAATGAACTTTTCAAGTGGCACACCGGCTGCTTCTCTCTCATTCCAGCTCCTTTTATTTTTGCATTCTGCATCAATTTCTCTCAAATTTCCACAGTTTTCAATGACAACTCGACGCGCAAACGTCCCGATGCCCGATCGACACTGTGTTGCTCCATAACAATAAACTATGTGAAGCTAGCGCTGGGCCTAGAAGAACGGAAGTAGAAAGCTACGGGCGGACATGCGCAAGCCGCATTTTCGTCTCTCTCCCAGTTCGGTGTTTTCCGCGGGTAAAAAAAAAAAAAGTATCGAAATTTGCGACCAAGAGCGGTCCAGCGGAGGAAGGGGGAAAGTAGCGGGACAAGCTAGATGAAGCAGAGTTTCCGCTATTTAGCGGGAAAGTGGTAGCTATGGCACACACACCCACCTCCTTGCATATCACACGTGCACGCTTACACATCGTTACGAAATGAGCACATACACATACATAATACAATAATATACACAAACCAAAATACATAAATGGATTCATAGTCATTTACATAACATTGAACTGGACATGAATCTACAGGAATATGTTAGTGAAATAAGAAGTATGAGAAATCTACTTCCCACATCATATAGGAATATGGTGATCTGCTATACACTTGAAGAAGCAACTTGTAGTCTGTTTCAATAACAGATTTACAACCACCAAAAAAAAAAAAACCCTTTAAAAAAAGTGTACAGAATCAATAAATATTTTTTATGAACTTCACCAATCTATGCCCTTAGTCACGACAAAAATGTCTTGTACAAATAAAGTTTGTTTTCAAATAAAAATTCAAAGAATTCACTCTTGATGCCCAATGGAATCTTATGTTAATATCTAATTAAAGACTCATCATCATCCAGTACCAGATCTGCGACAAACATCGGTGATCATGGTTCTCCATTCATTCTTTTGCTCGGATGCTCTCAAAAAAGCTACGTTTCCCTGATTTTTCCCTGTTACCCATTTGTTTAGGTTCCCCAAGTATGTTGTTCAGGGTCTTCCCCTGCCTCGCTTGCCCTCAATTTTGCAAGTAAGAGCTATGAGTTCAAGACCCTTATGTCTATTTATGTGTCCCAAAAACTGCATTTGTTGTTTCCTGATTGTTTTTAACATTGAGCGTCCCACGTGGGCTTCATCAAGCACTACCTCATATTTGATTTCTTTTCTTTCCACGATACTCTTAGCAGTCTCCTAAAAAACACATTTCTGTTGCTTCTATTTTATTTTCACCGTCTTTAGTGATTGTCCAGCATTCACAGCCATATAGAAGGGTTGACCAAACACAGCATTTCAGAACTTTCATTTTGGTATTCATTGGGATGTTTCTATTTTTCAGGATTGGGCTCATTTTATTGAAACTAGCCTTAGCCATTGTAATTCTCCGTTTTATTTCTGTGGAACATTTGGCATCAGATGTTATCATATATCCTAGATATTTAAACTGTTGGGACTTGTTTGATCTTTTCACTTATGCTAATGAGATTACAACTAGGCTTTGCTGCTTTTTTGGATATTACCATGCATTCTGTTTTCTTTACATTCAACAATAATCCTTTACCTTCACTTTCTGTTACAACAGTAGAAGCAATTGAAGGTCCTTTTCTGAGCCTGCTATTAAAACTGTGTCATCTGCATACCTGATGTTATTAATCTTTTCTCCATTTATTTTGAGACCTGGACATTCTTCTATGTTTCCAAGGATTGTTTCACTGTACATATTAAAGAGGTCTGGTGACATACATCCTTGCCTCACTCCTCGCCTAATCTGCTTTTATTGTTTGTGAGTGATACATTAAAAATTTCAGACTTCCTTTTAAAAATACAGAACATTAATATTCACAGGTTATACTAAGGAAAAAATCTCTGTATCAAGTGAGATATTTTTCACATGCTGTACTCTCATCTGCACAAAAGCACCCTAGTCTGATCTATACACGAAAAAAAAAAACGCTTCTGAAAATTTGCTTCCTGTTAAGTACCAGTTTAATAGTCTGCTGCACCCTCATACTTTCACCATCACCCCTATGAGCTGAACCAAAAAGAATTACACTGATATGTTGTAACTACAGCGTAACTTTTAACCCTTCGCGAGGCTATATATAGTCGCGATGGCCACGGCAGTCGTTCAGAGGGTATCGCGACTATAGTCGCGTTAACACATGGGTGCACTTGCGACCAGGTTTTGTGTACGGAGCCACAGGAAATGGATTAAACTAACTTGAACTTCATCCCAAGAAGATTTCCTTAGTAGTTTCTGCACGGAAGTGGAAGCTAGAGCCAAAATCGAAAGTACATTGACTAGTTTATTACTCTTGTTTACTTTTCGCCACAGCTGATGGAAAATGGCAGCGAATTTGAACTTTTGAAACCTCTTTGATGCATTTTATGAGGATGGTAATGACAGTGAAGGTGATGATATTATTCCTGATGCTCAAACTGTGTTTAGGGGAGAAGTAGGTCATCGGGAACCAGTGGTTCAAGCTCCCGGGGATCGAGATATTGATCTACAAAATAACTGGGTTCGTGAAACTTCTGCTCCTATTGTAGAGACTTTTGTTGGCACACCTAGACTCTTAGTGGATCTTCCTGAGAATCCCCAGCCCATAGATTTCTTCCAGCTCTTTGTAAATGATAATATTATAGGACTGTGGGTTGATCAAACCAATGCTTATGCAGCAAGCAAGTTGGATGTTACCTATGACTTACCCGAGCACTCGCTGCTCAAAGAATGAGAAGACGTAACCCTGGATGAAATGAGGAGACTTCTAGCGGAAACACCCAATGCGAAACTGTTCTGTGTGCTATGAAAATAGGGCACACAAGACTGGATTCAAGAGAAAACAGACTGCCTACCAGTGCAAGAAATGTGATGTAGCCCTGTGTGTCCCTGGCGGTTTTAAACTGTATCACACCAAAAGGAATTTGACTGTAACCTCCCGGGAGTAACTCACAGACAAAAACAGACTGACAAACGAACAGCGAAATGCAAGTCCAAATACAGTCATGATAATTTTTACAACATTTGTTTTCTGTATTCAATTACCAGTTCATTGATGCATGGTTTGTTGTTCTATCTTGAAAAATAATGAAGTTATAAGCATTTACGATAACCCATCTGAATTTTCACCAATTTCTCAAAATTAATCCGCCTCTGGGGGACAGAGCAGAGCCAAATAATGCGCCTCTCAAAGGGTTAATGTCTATATTTTTCTGTACCTAATCTGTTATGCAAAACAAAAATGACACTGGTATATCAGAAAATCAGAGATCCACCAAACTCCAGGAAGGCGGGAACTTGTCTCACCACTCACCTCCTCCTCCTCCTGTGCCTGTCTCGGCTGCGTGACCTCCTCCTGTCTCTCTCTCGATCTCTGTCTCGGCTGCGATCTCTTGTGCTCCTATCTGCATCTCCGCGATCATAACCTCGGCTCGGGCTTCTGCTGCCACCAGCCATGGCACCACCTCGGTTCCGATCACCATCACCACCGTCCATTTCCCTTCTCTGCCTCATTTCCTCTCTCTGGGCCTCCCTCTGAGCTCTTCTCTCTGTCACCAAAGTCTGTAAGAGAAAAATTACTTTTTTCATTTCTCTGATAAGATTATGTTACATGGTGACTGCTAAACAGATTTCAGGAGGTGACATACAAAAGCACAATGAACAAAACAATGGTATTTCAAAACAATCTGAAATTGCACAATTACATCCAAGACAAAATCAAAAAGAGTAACAAAAATGCTTCTGCATCTTCTGTTGTCTTGTTAGAGCGGCCCAAGTTTACCATGTCTAAAATTTCTATGAAAGCGTATGTGTATATTTTCTTTTAAAATAACATCATTTCCCAGACTTTTACTCCATGTCGTTTGAAAACAGCATGTAAAATGTTGAACGCCCATCCCTGTTTGGAAATGGCACTAGGCACAACAACTGTTGACACCCCCCACCAGACAAATAAAAAACAATCAATCATTAAACCTTCAATTGGTCCAGCTTTTCCCGAATGGTGATGAACCCAAGATGCAGTTTGCCTCCAAAGTGATCAGCCAAACGGCGATCGTTGTCGTGGATGCCAAGGTAAGCCCCACACACTTCACACACTCGGAGTTTCTGCTGCTGGTAGCTGGACGCTGGCATGGAGTTCCTGAACTCAGTCTGTAAAGTACAAAAGCAAATATTTTGAACCAATAAATCAGAAAATACTAAAGGACAAAAGTTGGAATTCTTCTTCAATAATCTGTGATGGAACATTTTCATCATCATGAGAGAGGAGCGCAGAGATGCCAACCACAGAAAACTGAAATGAGTATTGGGAAATATGAAAATGTGTATTTTCAGGGGAAAATGCATGTGTATTCCCCACGACCGACCGACCAACTAGTAAAATGTTAACGGGGTCCAGTAGTATTTCCTGAAAAAAAATTACTAGCTCACCAGCTCGAAAGAGGGAGCACATACGCGTACAATATACATGTAACCAGTCAACAACATGTCAGTGTTCAGTGTCGTACTGGGGTCTTGTTTGACTTAAATATTTCAGTCTATTATACCGGTAATATTTTCCTCTCATTATTATGTAAAAAATAAATCCTGCTTTGAGAGTTTGGAAGGGCCTAGAACCAAACTTTCGACTATCAAGAACCAGTCTGGGTGTCATGATTCATATTATGAACTTACAGACTCAAATTATTGCTCAAACTCAGAGAAAAGCAAAAACTTGAATGGCTCAAGTAGACCCATGCATTGTGAGAGTTGAAACAACTGTGGTAGGGCAAGATGCAGTGACACTGAAAATCTGCCAGTCTTGAACAGAAAGCTACAACATACACTGTAGGTATAATTTACTATCACCCATCCAATGAAACACGAACACATTATTTCAATAACACAGACTAGCAAAGTATGAAGGGTCCCTATTCTGCACACGGCCTGCTCCAACGCGCACTTTGCAGAAAGCTCTAATCAAAATTCTGAAATGTGCTTCCAAGTTTTTGTCCTCTGGTGTTGCCTTCACACCCTCCCCCATAGTATCTTAAACCCCCCAAAAATCAATAATCTCCTTCCATATTCCGTAGTCCTATACTTCGCAAGGCCGTTACTCCCACCAAAGACGGTCTTTACTCACACGATGCCGCATTTATTTATGACGCGAATGCGCGCAGGTTCAGTGACCGGTCACGATGGCGAGCCAGACAGTCTAAAAATCGGACGACACTTGTATTTTCCTTTCTTTTTTTTCCACAAGTGACAGCACAGAGACAAGTCCGAGCATTGATTAAATTTTATTTACACGGCGACATTGCGTTTATACTGCACAACCTGCATGTCACAAATGTTGCGTTAGCAGACAACTGCTGGCAAACTACTCGGTGGTATCGAAAGCGAAAGTAGATCTTGATTTTCCTGATCGAGCCTCGGTGTCACATACGCTTCCATCTGCTGCCTATTCGCGTGAAAGTGAAACGAACTCTCCGGACGGGGAAAAGCTGAACGAATATAATATCGCAATCGTGACCCGCAAAAATGAACTGACTGACCTTATCGGACTTGGTTTTCAAATATTCCAGTTCTGCGATACTGATACTATTTTGAAAAAACATGGGACTTGAGATAATAAGGTTTACTCGCCCAAGCTGAATCTCGTATTTTTCGCATTCCAATATGCATATTTTTTCATCAAAAGTCGTATTCGCATATTTTCGGCAAAAAAATAGTACTAAAATATGTAAAATCGTACTGGTTGGCATCTCTGGGAGCGGTATCTGCTTTGACTTAATTAAGATTCAGAAAGGTTCATTTTATGCATTTATACTTTTGGTGGAATAATGACAGGATCGGGAGCTCAACAAGACTGGAAAAAATAAAAAGTATCAAGGCAGAATTCAGTCTTGTTAGCTGGTTATCCCAGCACTGGTATAAGGTTTAGATATGATTTAAAAAAGCATATTCTCCCCAGGGAGTTTTCTGTAAAATTACCTTAATCAATAACCATATTGGTTGGCTTTCCATCATTGTATTTTATATACTTTGCGTGAATCTTCCTTTGCAGACAGTTATTTAACTTGAGCTTACCTCGGCTTGACTCTTTTTTCCTTTCAAAGCCTCAACTTCTTCCAACATCTTCATGGACTCTTCCACTTCACCAGCAGCTCCAACCTCCTCAGCTTTAGCCATCAACGTTCCAATCTGTTCGCCCAGACTGTGGATCTGTTCTGCCTGCATGTAGGAAAAAAACAGCAATGCAGTGATCATTAATTTGTAAGCTTTGAGCTAATAAAGCGTTCCCTCAACCTTTCTTGTAACATGTAAGGGCCACACTTGATGTTTGAGGCTGCGGCTACATCTCACCGAAACCAGGCCTCCTCAACAGCATAAGAACTTCTTCTACCCCAACTTCTGAATCCTCTCAACATGATGAGATAACTATAAGATGTGACTGTCATGAATGGATCACTCATGCCCTTGTAACTGAACAATTTTAAGAAGTCAAGTTTTGCCCTTTATATCTAATTTTGGTTGAAATCTTTCTCTAACATACTGATTGATTTTCTTCACATTTTCAAACTCGACATCCCACTAATTCTATCCATTCAGTTTTGTTAAAAGTAGTGCAGAATTTACCTAGTTATTGCCCTTTAAGCTGGTCTTCTTTTTCTGTTTTCTTTCTACAACCTGTAGTAATTTACTTTTTTTTTTATAGTAGAGGGTTTTACAGTGCTTTGAACTGCATAAGGCCATATGAGCGCCAAATTAATTTACTGATTGGCCAAAACTAACTGACCATATCAAAGCATCGTAACATGAAAGTCGTTATTTCAAAATGTATAAAACAACAATATTGACACTTCCAAAACACATACAAATAAGGAAAAAAATCAGCAATCTAAATTCATTTCATAAATACTCATTACCACTTGCCTCTGACCTGAGAAAGGAACTTATTTTATATTCATTTAAGCATGAAAGTCACTCTAGTCAGAAAACGTTTTAGTTACCTTTGAGTTTGCCTCTTCACTCAGTTCCTCTTGAGTTTCCTTCAGTCGGCGTTTGGCCACTTCAGTCTTTCTGTCACAGTCAGAAATGAAGCTCTGAAGGTGTTCCATCGCCTGCCAATGCAAATATGAAATGATGTCTCAACATTTAAAAAATTGTCTAAAAAATCAAAACATTTTCTGCTACAATAGAATATATGAAAAGTTATATGGTGAAAAAAAGAAAAGAAAAACATTCCAGATTTGAAAGTCATTCCTCGAAAGTGTGCACAAGAAGAAATACTTTATGGGGTTAGCCGCCTCCAGATATGACAAGTGTGTGTACCTCAGAGTTCTGATCTGATGCCACAAAGACATTTACACATGAAACTGACCATGATAAAAGACAAAGAAAAGTACATACTTTGCTAATTAAAAAATCAGATCTTCCATCAAAAATACTTTTTTGTCTTCACGACTTTTAAAATTGAAACATAAACATGATAAGATAAGTGAGAGATTTCTTGTTCCCTAGTGACACAGTTGAGATAAGTTTGAAAATGGACAAAAAGTCACTCACATCAATGTCATAGAAATAATCCTTGGTTTTAGCAGCCAGCTCATAGTCCGCTCGCAGGGCCAAGTCATGTACATTGGGGCATTCACCCAAGTCCATTCGCTGTAGAGTAGACAAGGAAAAAAAACAACCCACCTCTGCATTAGTAACTTACAGTACTCAGGTTTGATTTCACTTGTTCGTCTTCTGTACATCCAAGAAATGCGAGTAATCACACTCAGAAGAAACGAAATATTTAAGTCCTCACAACAGGTAACGGACAAAAGCCATTTTTATCTCTCTCCAACAACAACAAAAAAGTTGTATATCAATATAGCCAGGCACAAATGGATTAACTCCAAAACTTTCTATAAGCTATCTTTTTTACCATAAAGAGAGTTCAAAGTTAGGTACATCATCATCCCAATAAATGGTGTGAAAATCCAATGAATACAAATGCATTAAACAACATGAAATTTAAGTCGAAGTAGTCTTTAATATTTAAATTACACTTTTTAGCTTTCACTGTAAAATGTACTTCCATGGAGACAGCCCATCTTCACCCAACACCATTGATACAAAAGATTCTATCATTGATAGTGACCTGCATCAATATTTACTTACATACTTTGTTATACAATTTAAGGCAGTTTCTCTGATAAATATAAAGCCTGCATCATTAAAAAATTCAAAAGCACGTGTGGCACTAGTAATCTCTATCCATTACTATATTTTTGGAGTATTCAGCCAATATCTTTTTTTTATCTTTACAACCAACACTTTCAATTAAAGTGAAGAGTACACAGTAACTCAAAACTCACACATAATTGGTTAAAGAGAATTGTATCCTCTTCAGACACATTCTCATAAAATTACTCAAAAGCCTGCCAAAATGAAGCATGTTTATAACAAATGTCATTAATGATCCTTCTATAGACAAAACACTTGAAAACCTTTGTTTCCACTCTCTGAAATTACATTGACTGATTTTTGTTTTTAAACCTGTCATTCGATAAAAAGTGTTGAAGCCTCCACAGGGCAACAAAAGAAGAATAAAGAACTTTCCATTTCACAAGGCGTGTCTGTGCTCAGAAAGTATTTGGCTTGGTTTCAGAGCATTTCATTTCCCACGTTAACAGACAATCAATGTGCAACATGAAGCACATTCTGTGCATTAAAAATATTCCAACAGTTTGCTCAAATGCATGAAACAGAAACAGCTTTTCCAAAGCAGAGTGCTTCATTATCTTTTTCACAGGAAAAAGGATTCAAACATTTTTAAAAAGACTGGTTTCAATCCAATAGCTGTCGCGGTTTCATTCCATTAGCTGTTCAGTTAACCCACCTCTCCTCTTATCTATAGAACAAAATCCATCATACATAAATGATCACAAAAGCAAACTGGTCTTCAAATAATACTCACACACACACTTACTGTCACAAATTGATGAAATTGTACACACTGTAATGAAATACTAATTCTATGAATCAGACTGAAACAACCAAGGAACACCTATCATGGCAACTCTGATGATTTCACTAGTGGAAAATCCTGGTGAACAATTAGAAATAGGACGAGACAGATCTCACACAGACACCTGAATGACAATGTATATCATGGTTGACAAGCATTCAAGCCTTTAGAATTTTACAGAACACAAATACACCAAAACAGTACTTTCTGCTGATGTCTTGATGATAAAGACTCAACAGCATACAAACGTAACACTTAATGACAATACAGGACATATGAATCTTAATGTAGTCTTCACAAACAACGCGAGCTCTGTGGCCACGACATTATCTCAGCAGCACACTGAAAATAACATCACATTCTGTTTTCATTCAAAAACACAGTTTACATGGCATTGATTGAAACAGAAGATGGGAGTTTCAAAATGGATCCAACTCACGGTTTGCTTACGTACCCATTTCCTAGCATGTCAAAGAATGAAACAGTATGACACACCAACCTGATCCCAAGAAGCATTTTTGTAGCTATAAGGAAGAATGAAGAGAAGAAAAAAAAATGAAATTAAAGCAATTGTTTGGTGGAAATCAAACAATTACCACATTCATGGATGCATAAATGTGGCATATTTCTTTCACTCACCGTGCTAGCCAGAATATCATGAGGGCAACAGCTGAGAAGGAAGCTCTTACATACCCGAGGGTCATCAAACCTCACTCGGTACCGGTCACTATCGCCTATACTCAAAGGGAAATTAACACAGGAGAAAAAACAAAAAAAATTATGTCAGTGAGAGAGCTGTTGAAAAACATGTCCAACCGGACCATGGAAATACATACATGACTGTTGAAGGTGCTGCAGCTGCAAGTAGTTAAGCTCAACATCTGCACTCTGGACCATCAATTATATTATGCTATGTGTACACTGGGGTTTCTGAACTGATTTTCTTCACAAGAATTATTTTGGTGGAACTTAAAAAGGCCCGCATCTACTTGACCTACTATCTCAAAGAATGCTAAAACTTTTCCATATATACCAAAAATGATCCTTTCAAGTGTTTTTATTTGATAATATTTCATAAATTTTGAAGAAAAAAGTCACCAGAAATGCCGAAATAATATCCCCTTCATTTTCCAATAGCAAGCCTGTATCCTCAGTTCCACATACAAAGGATGCACAAAAGATTAACATCGAGGAATTCCCTTTATTTATTTTCATAACCTCATCTCTATACTTGAGACAAACAAATGTAATCAGCAATACCTGAATGGATGGTATCTTGACAAAAAGACCACAAATTACAGGCATACTTATCCAAGGAATTTTAAAAAATAAAACTCATATCTCATGCTTAATAATTTGAAACTTGTCCATAAACACGGCTTTTGTTTTTGTATGTTTAAGTAGAGGTTTTACGGCGCTCACAACTGCATAAGAGATGCGGCTTTGAGTAACTACTGTTGGGAGTACAAGATGGAACACCACATTCCTTCTCATGTCTCATGTCATGACATATTATATTCAATTCAGGTTGTCCAAGAAAATGTGAACCTTTATATAATTACTTAATTACACTGACTAATTCTTATCATTAACAACTGAAATTGAAAATAAACAGCGGATGTCAGGATGCTCCTGAATTAATTCAGGGAAAAGCACAAAGGAGTGACTTTCTTATTAAATTGGTAGCTAATGACTCAAAGTTACTGTTACTCTTGACCTTGATAAATTACAATGTAACGTTCAATCATTTCCATTTAGTAAATTGGTTTTCACTTCACCCAAGGAGACAAAAAAAAGGATTTCTGAAGAACTTATTCAAAGTGTTAAAGCAGCATCTGTAATTCCTATCTCACCATCGAACTTTTGTGCATCCTTTGAAATTTACTTGGGAAAATCAGTTTTCAACTTAATAATTTCAGCACAAGTTACATTCATACATACATCTCAGTGTTGGTATCCGCCATCAGACTGATGAGCCAGACTTCACTTTAGGAAACAAATAATTAACCCTACTGACACAAATACTGTTCATACATACATTTTGTATGCTGCAATGTCCATCCACTAGTAGAGAACTATGAATCTATGTTTTCTACATTACCACAAGAAGCAACAACTTAAAACGCATCATAAAATAATTCACAAGAAGTAGTTGCATATATATTTCAAAAATTCAAATAACTAGTGAATATATAGACAGTTATTAAGTTACACCATATTAGCTTCATATCTGGCTGTGAATCACAAAAAAACAAATGAAAAGGAAACGTGGGAGCATCTTGATAAACATCACAAACCATATATAATATTAAAATCATAAAAAGCACATCATTCACCATAGTCACAATGAAGAAACTCCTCTATGACTTAGGTGACAATTTTAACTTAAAAACTGTCCAAAAGTAAACCAAGCTTGGCCTTGGGACCCCCAAAAGGTAGACTGAATGGAAAGGATAAGTGTCATTGGCAAATAAAGTTTTGAGCAACTCATCAAAATGAGAACACAAAAAAGAAGGAATGCACGGGTAACCTACGATTTGCTCACACCCATACTATACTCACACGTACTACGTACAACAACATAAGATAATACGAGGCTACCACCCTTTATGATAGAAAAGCCTATCTCTTGCCTTGACTTCAAAATCATAGGACTGATTAAGTGATGTAATCAAGGGTTTAAAATGTCAACCCAATACCAGAAACTGCCCAATGCAAAATTTAAAAACCATAATACCATTCAATGAAATGAAACCAACCACCGTACAAAATTTTCTTTTTATAAATAAAAACATGCAAGGAGGAATGGATCTACCAAACCACACGCACAGATTTACCGTAGCTGAGTTTACAAAAATGAACCGAACCACAATCTTAAGTTATTTTATTACTAATTTCACACAAAAATAATCACTATCTAATTTAATCTAAACCCAGTACTGCTTTAACGTCGAAACGCGTCGAAACCTGCCAAAACCCTCGAGTTTTATTGCGATTTTCCCATGATCGCTAGACAGAATCAGGTATTTTATATAGAATCACTCCTGTTTCACGTCACATCCACTGCCGGGAGCCAGCTCCTTCACCACTTTCGTGCCGTCGGATGACAGATAAGGTCACTTTTTTTTTAGATAAAAGGTTTCGTTTTTTTAGGCTTTTTTTAAAATGAATGCCTTTGTAGTCATTAGGGGGCTTTCAGGGGGTCTCCCCCAGACGAGCGAGTACGTAATAGCTAAATGATGCGCCGTGTTGTCGCTCAGCTGGACCGCGTTACTTTACCGATCGATATCTGGGCCAAGAGATGTTCTAGACTATGAGGCCAGGATAACTTGCAAAGTCACTGGTCACTATTTATAAATTTGACCCACAATTTACTACGTCATTTCTTTAAAAGGGCCTGCGCGCTTCCCGGTCGAAGCAAAGATTCTCTTTATTAGACTTTGGTCAAAGTCGATCGGCCCTAGGGCCTGCGCGTTTCGTAGGTAGCTGTACCTAAGTACGGCTAGACTGCCAGTCTAGCCGTACTTATCTTAGGCCCTATTAACATTAGAAGGAGTTAAAATACATGCACTGTCATTAAGGCACCTGGTTTCGTCTCAAATACAAATACTTTAGGTACTGCACACTAAAAATGTATATTTACAATTCAGTAGGCCTATTTTTTGTAAATGGTCAGTCTAGCCATCATATTAAGAATAAGTACGGCTAGACTGCCAGTCTAGCCGTCACGTCATTAAGTACGGCTAGCCTCTTCCTTGGTCAATTTGATCGTCCACACCGATAGACAGTAAATTCAGAAGGCCACCTCTATTCTCACCCGGGATGAGAATAGTGCAGGCGAGTCTTTTGGCTATTCTCACCCAGTGCGCGTTCACCGCTATAGCCTGGATCTAGGCCAACAAATTTTGCGTTCACCCTAAACCACAGAATTCTACACTGTGATAAAACAGAAAAATTGTAGTATTCTGTGCCGTGAACAAACGTTCCATTACAACTGTAGTCTACTAAAAGCGTACAATTTTGTCTGTGGGCAGTGGAGAGAGAGAGAGAGAGAAAGAGAGAGAGAGAGGAGTAGCGCGAGAGCTTCAGGTCAAAACTCAAAACAAAATGGCGACCCGCGTAGTTCGGCTCGATTCGAAAGTTAAATAGCCGTAGCATCTTTGTAGACAACCAAATTAATTTACTTTTGTGTTTTAACATCATTTTTTAACTTTGTTTTGGTCAATTTGATAGTCCACACCGATCGACAGTATTCAGAAAGAGACAGAGAGAGAGAGAGAGGGGAGGAGTAGATCTTGCGAGAACTTCCGGGCAAAACAAAATGGCGATCCCCGTAGTTCGGCTCGATTCGAACAGTGAAATACCCATAGCATCTTTGAAGACGATCAAATTAGCTTACTTTTGTGCTATAACGTAATTTTTTCTTGGCTTTTATCAATGGGAGTGTATACAGACCCGGTAACCGGGAATAAAGTCGCAAAGTATACAGACCCGGTAGGGGAACTCTTTTGTGATTTCGGAAAGTTTCAGCACCCTCTTGGCTCAGGGTAGAACTAGGTTCTTCTAGATCTATGGCCTAGATCTAGAAAGACAGCTCTATATAAATCATTGATCTAGTTTCGAGGCTAGCCTAGATCTAGATCTTAAACTGAATGAAGACTGCGGATGTCTTTTCAAGAAAGATCGTTTTTCCCCTGTTTTGGAGTTGGAGGAATCACAATTTGAAGAAAAGAACAATGTCATAATTTCAATCGAGCAGTCACCCTCTCTCTCCCTCTCTCTGTGTGTGTATCGCTCGCATTCTTTTTTTCTTTGTTTGTCTGTCTTTCGTTCCCTCCTGCCAACTTGCGGGCATGTCATATACATTTTGCTAGCACTTCCCCCTGCTCTCTCTCTCTCTCTAACACACACACACACACTCTACCGGGTCTGGGCGCTGAAACTTTCCGAAATCACAAAAGAGTTCCCCTACCGGGTCTGTATACTTCGACTTCGTGACTTTGTTCCCGGTTACCGGGTCTGTATACACTTCGTTTATCAATTTGATCACCCACACCGATAGACAGTATTCTAAAATGAGGAAAAGCAGGTCTTGTTTCGCACCGGGTGAGAATAGCCTACGCTGGCAAGTCTCAACCGGGGTGAGAGGTAGATCGTTTTTCTATTCTCACCCCGGATGAGAATAGCCACTTCCTATTCAGAAAGAGACAGAGAGAGAGAAGAGGGGAGGAGTAGATCTAGTCTAGAATCTAGATCTAGATCTAGATTCTAGATCTAGATCTTGCGAAAACTTCCGGGCAAAACAAAATGGCGACCCGCGTAGTTCGGCTCGATTCGAAAAGTGAAATAGTAATAGAATCTAGATCTAGTAATAGCCATACTCATACATGATAGCAGATAGCATCTTTGTAGACGATCAAATAGCTACTTTTAGCCTAACGTAATTTTTTCTTTGCTTTTATCCATTTGATTATCCACACCGATAGAAAGTATTCCGAAATTAGGAAAAACAGGTCTTGTTTCACACCGGGTGAGAATAGCCAACGGTGGCAAGTCACCCGGGGTGAGAGGTCGATCGTATTTTTATTCTCACCCCGGCCCCGGTGAGGATAGCCACTTCTAAACATTAATTAATGGCCACCTCTATTCTCACCCGGAGTGAGAATAGTGCAGGCGAGTCTTGTGGCTATTCTCACCCGGTGCGCGTTCACCAAATTTTGCGTTCACCCTAAACCATAGAATTCTACACTGTGAGGAAAAATTGTAGAATTCTGTGCCGTGAACAAACGTTCCATTACAACTGTAGCCTACTAAAAGCGTACAATTTTGTCTGTGGGCAGTGGAGAGAGAGAGAGAGAGAGAGAGAGAGAGAGAGAGAGAAAGAGAGAGAGGAGTAGCGCGAGAATTTCCGGGCAAAACAAAATGGCGACCCGCGTAGTTCGGCTCGATTCGAAAAGTTAAATAGCCGTAGCATCTTTGTAGACAACCAAATTAATTTACTTTTGTGTTTGAACATCATTTCTTAACTTTGTTTTGGTCAATTTGATCGTCCACACCGATAGACAATATTCAGAAAGAGACAGAGAGAAAGAAGAGGGGAGGAGTTGATCTTGTTGGGAGAACTTCCTGGCGGGTGAGAATAGCCACTTTTTTCTTAATTAATTAAGATTGTGTAGGCCCCTACCGATCGGTAATTAGCGTGGAACATTTAGATCTAGATCTAGATCTAGAGTCTAGTCTACATGAGAAAATAAAATTCATAATCAGTCAAGAATCACAGAACATAAATTCGTGTAACTTCAAACTGAAATTGAAGCAAGATCAGACGGCTGGCACCGAAAGCAGAGTTTGATTGTTGTGCATTCGGTTCACCTACCATCACGTGTAGTACCCATCAGCTCATCGAGCATAGCCCTGATTTGATCGTGCGCCGTCATATTGATATAAATCCAACAAACAGCTGACAATCAAGACTGTTCGTGAAAAGAGAAATTGGTAAATATGGCGTGGCTTAGAGCAGAGAATGCTCTCGCTTGCTGCCTTCACCGACCGACGTCTTCAAGCACATTCAATATGGCCGCTCTCAAATGCCAGATTGACTATTGACTAGCCTACTTAGAATCTATTGACTTAACGATGATATGACGATTTAGACCAAATTATTTTGGAATAAGCCCTTTTGGCTCGATCAAAGGCATAAACATCTATACATGGGATGTAATACAACAGATAATAATGATAGTTATGATAGTTTTAGTAACGTGTTTTCCTTGCACTCACAGCAACGGCAAACGCTTATATTTGCCTCAAATTTAAAATAATATCAGAGGGAAACGACACATATTTCTACTTGGTTTTAAATAGAAAAAAAACGGTTCACATTCTTGTTTTAGAATTCAATATCATGAATTGACAAATAAAACATTTTCTGTTTGTTTTAAGTTTCGAAAACCCACCCCAAAAAAAATAATAAAATTTGGCTACATAGCCTACCTCCTCACAATAAGCAGTGTAAGTCCAATAAGGCATTTCAAATTTCCTTGCTTCACGGCTGTTCATGTCAGGACCTTCGAACCAAGGGTTGCCAGAAAATTGAGGGGTTTCAGTTCAGGGGTCGGAAACCACGCTCCATCCCATTTGAGTTGATCTAGTGCATAGACCTATAATATAATAATAGGTCTAAGATCTAGTGTAATTTCATTATGCAATAGGCCTAGGCTAATAATTTGTATTAAATTTCATTTTATTTATTGTAGCATCCGGTCTAAATGGGACATCAAACGATCAGTTAGCTGTCTGCCATGTTTGTGATAACACAACAATAAATAAAGCAATCTTGGTAACATAAAAGGAAAACAAAAACCTTTTTGTTTGAGGTCAAAATACAGCATGAACTAATCACCAGCGAGTCAATTTGTAAATTTTTATACACTAGTTCTGAATTTGATAATATTATCTTCACGAAAGTAGGTAGTTTTCGATAAGTTTAATAACAAGAAAAAGGACAGTCTAGTGGCCAGACGCACAAAAATCAGTTGCATGGTAACTATAAGTTCAGCAGCAATAAAGCTTCCACCAAAATTGTCTCCAGCTGACTTTTCTTGTCAGTTGACACGTGCCAAGTTAGATGTACTTGTGTTGTTTGCCCGTGTCCAGCGCATCTCATAATATGCGTTACCCCCCCCCCCCCCACACACACACACACACACACACACAATTTCTTCTCAGTTATCTGGGAGCAGCTAGTCTGCCTCCTAAATTGATGGTGTTGATTGAGCCGTAAAACTTGAAATTCCTTCTCATACTCTCGCTCCACTAGGAAACATTCTACCTAAAGTTTATAACCTATGATCTATCACATAACCATTACTTAGGCCTACAACTTGAAATCGTTCCCATGTGTTTGTTGCTATTTTATTTGCATAAATTCATAATCCGATGTGTTGCTCAGCTGCTCAAATTCTAATGAAATACAAGAGCAGCTATAGGCGCCTTGCTGCAGAAACGACTTGACCTGTTTTATCGTATTCTCGGAGTGTAGCATCGCTTTCAACACAAAGTGCGCAACGTGCGCGCGGTGTGTGCATGTGTGTGTGTGTGTGTGTGTGTGTGTGTGTGTGTGTGTGTGTGTGTGCGTGTGTGTGTGTGTGTGTGTGTATGTGTGTGTGTGCATCTCCACTTCACCATTGTTTTCTCAAAATGAGTCAAATTTTAATAGATGTGCGTATTTGGGGGGGGGGGGGGGGGAATCTATTGACATAGATTGTCATAAAAATGCTCATCGTTGGAAATGTCTCTATGCAGGATACAAGGTAGACTAGCCTGGTCTAGATACAAAGTGAAAATTTCAATTGAAAAAAAGAATATCCGCAAAGTGGTTGTAATACAGGAATAAAAGAGACTTGATTGTTTCTTCAGACTGAGACCTGCGCTTACAGTTAACGAGCAATTTGTAGAGAAAGAAGCTTCTCTACACGTCTACTGATGTGCATGTGGAAAAATGTAGCGCAAAGCCACACCAGATGAGAAAGGGATGGCACAACATCGTGTTTACGATTGATTTAATTTACCTTAGAACTAAATCTTGCTAGAAGATGATTCAGTCCAAGTGAATGCCTCTCTCTCTCTCTCTCTCTCTCTCTCTCTCTCTCTCTCTCTCTCTCTCTCTCTCTCTCTCTCTCTCTCTCTCTCTCTCTCTCTCTCCCTCTCCCTCTCCCTCTCCCTCTCCCTCTCCCTCTCCCCCTCCCCTCTCTCTCTCTCTCTCTCTCTCTCTCTCTCTCTCTCTCTCTCTCTCTCTCTCTCTCTCTCTCTCTCTCTCTCTCTCAACAATCCACTTCTTGAACGTGTAAACAGGACTTAGGAGACAAAGGAGGTGATATTTCTGGTACAAATTGTCCACCTTGGTGTAGTTATTTTTAGTCGTTTTACTACTACTACTACTACTTCTACTACTACTACTACTACTACTACTACTACTACTACTACTACTACTACTACTACTACTACTACTACTACTACTACTACTACTACTACTACTTCGTGCCTTGTTTGCACGCAAATTACCCTTTTTTCCTGATCGATCAGTTTCGGTAAGAATGTAAACATTGAGACGCCATTTTTTGTGACCACAGTTTTCTTTTTCAAATTAAGCCACGGGGTGTTGGTGAGACCTCTAGATCTACTGTGTTAGTTATATTATATAACATTGTGTTAGGGTTTGACACTGTTGACATTGTTGTGTTCGCGTCAATTGCTTGACAATGCCTTGTACGGGGAAGAAGCGAAGGCCAGCTGCTATACGTGCAGCTACGAATAGTTGTCTGGCTATTATATGCTCAAGGAGGCGAAGGAGTCTACAGCTAGATCAATTTCTCAAGATGATGAGGCAGATTCAACAGCAGCGTATCGGTCTAGATCTGTATCTAGGTCCCCCTCACCTGTGCCATCGTCGTCTTTAGACATTCCCTTGTCAGACCCACCCCTTTCCCCCCAAAGATGCGGCCCAAAAAGATTCGAACAAAAACTGGCCTTGCCTGCAGATAAAGAGGTGTGTACCGGTATGGGCAGCATGTAATTGGATAAAGATTAAAGTGCATCTGGTAGGACCATCATCGATCTTCATATTATGATCACTTCTTTTGTGTCTTTATTTCGGTGCCAGGTTCCAGACTGTGGTGGAAATGTGGTGTGCAGCATTAATTCTAAGAAGGGTAAAGGATTTTGTGCATGCCTTGAAGCTTTTTGTCTCATATGTGACAGTGTAGCTGCAACTACGTTTACATCTGACTGTGTGGACACACGATCAACGACTCGTCAGAGCACCTTTAGCCTACTGTAAATAATGATGTTGACATGGCGGCATTGAAGAGTGACGTGGGCCCTCACAAACTGGTATACTTTATCGAGAATTTGAACATGCCCTCAGTGTGCAAGACAGGTTTCCAGAAGAAAACCTCAGCTTTATATTCTTTTAACAACATTGCTGCTGACGCTCTGTTTTCAAGGGCTGCAAAGCAAGTTAGAGCTAAACACAGAGAAATCTTCGGGGAGGAGGTTGAAGACGGAGACTCTGCAATGAACATCGCAGTGTCCTTCGACCACACATGGATGACGCGAAGCCACTCCTCTCTCGTGGGTATCGGCTGCGTCATTGATACACTGACAGGACTTGTCATTGATGCACACTCATGAGTTCTCACTGTCAGACGTGTGCAACTTCTGGAAAGTTCCAGAAGTCCGTGAACCCGACAACCTACCCCTAGTTGCTGAAAGACCATAGAGCAGGAGGCTACACCATCAATTATTAAGGTAAATAAATTTATTAAACTGAAAACTGACCCTTTGTTATTCTTTTTTGCCTTATCTCTTCTGTTTTCAGGCTTGCTCAGTTGTGCTATTTAAATCCAATTGCTAAGTTAGCGTTGGCGTATAGATCTAGATCTGGTGTTGACAGGAAAGAGGTTAGTCATTGTCATAAAATTATACCAGATCTGAAACAAACATCTCCGATTAGGGTTTTCCAGTCATTCGTTTGCTCGGATGCTCTCAAAAAACCTCTGTATATCCACCCATCTGCTCAGGCTATCTTTATAAGTTTTTCATCGTCTACCTCTGCCTCGTTTGCCTTAATTTTTTTTTCAGTGAAAGCAAGATGTAGGCTATGTAGATCTAGTTCATGTCCTTTTTATCACGTACAGTGTCCCAGAAACTGCTATTGTTGATTCCTAATTAGCTGTTTTATGAAACAGTGAGCGGCCTGCGTGGGTGTCTTTCAACACTTTCTCGTTTTATTTTTTTTTCTGGGCATAACATTCTCAAAAGTCTCTTAGATCTACTAGATCTAGATGTGGATCTAAGTCTGAACAATCAAATTGCTTTCTGTTCTTTCTATTTTATAGCCTATTGACGAAACCCTCCCGTCTTTAGAATTAGATCTATCTTATATACATATACATCTAGATCTAGATGGTCACATAACCTCGTCACATAACTGATGTAGTTTTCACCTTTGTTGTCTCTGGTAGGTTCAGGTAATGGGGTGACGGCTAAGATAATCTGCTGGATTGAGCTCATATTTCCCAGGACTGTATCTGAGATTGAACCCGTCAGTCAGTTGTAACAGCGAGCTTAGACCCATACAAGTACGTGGGGAACTTCTCCACTCCAAACACGACACCTCGCATCTCTCTTTCAGTTTGGGACTATCTCGTTTCCACTCGTGTAAGCGCTCGACTTCCGTAGCTAATGACATGCCCCTCCTGAGTTAAGATTGCATCGAGTCTGCATGGGGATGCATCGACTGTGATCTCAGTCAAAGATAGTACATAACAAGATGGTCCACTCAGCCAAAAAAGTGTTTTCCGGAAGTCCGATCTTTGCCTCAGATGGCGCTGCAGTCTGTTTTGAAGCTCTCTCATATTTCCACTCCTTAAACCACGAGGAGATTTGTCTTATATAGATGTAACTCAATAGAATGACCAAACAAAAAATGAGAATAGACATCTGCTTTCCTCTTGAAAAAAAAAGAAAAAAAGAATGGTGATCTGAACATATAACCTCAAATTGTATGGATTGAATTACCTAATTTAAAGTATTCATACA